GCCAGAAATCAATAGAAACTGACTGCGCCCTGCCTTGGGATGAAAACAAGCACAGGTTGATGATGATAATATTTTCAACTCATTACCCACACATAAAAGTAGCATCAGATTTTCTGCATAGAGGGACCTTTCTACCAGCAAGAAGGTGCAGCTCCCTGCAGGACGTTATCAGAGACTGCACATTTGCCTATAGCTGGCATTCTGTACACAGCCATTCTTCCATTGATCCGAGTTCAGGTCCCCATCTCCAGCTACCACGCCATTCCGTGGGACTCACTGACTGACTGGCGCTGATAAGCTGGGACCAATAGGTGGCTTATGGGAGGGCAGGGAGGGAGTGTATTAACATATAGACCCATTATTGTACATTAGCAATGCTGGTCATTTTCCTATAGGATTATTCCTTGACTGTCACCATTTAGTTTGCCAACCACTGACATGTACACTATTCAAACAAATCCACGAGACTAGACATTGGCAAACTGCGGGAGCTGATACACCAATGATCCATATTAACACACCCTGGGGCACTTTATTGACCAACCTACTTCTTCAATGGCAGGAAAGAAACAGTGTGACAAATGACGAGCATGTCCTTTATTAGGAGTTAATTATTAATTAAATATCTCCCTAGGTGGTATATAGTATATTGTGCCATAGTAGGGACACTAGATGTGGGTTATTTACACTTTCCCCGTGTGGATAAATGAACCTCGGACTTCTATGTGATTTAGCAAGAAATGATAATAATGTTTACTTAAAAGTGCTAATGCCTGTTCTAACATTCTTTACCAGTATTCCCGGGAAATTGATGCTGTTTTTTATCACTACATGTACCTGGGCTTCAGTCTGTGCAAAAAAGTTGAGTCGTCATGCTTACACTTCTTGCTTGCACCACAGGGGCTTGTAACTGCCATCTTTATATAGTACTAAGACACTTCAGGAATGGTATGAAGCATGCCATTGTGATTGAGGAGAGTAATAAACTTTAAATATGATCAATATCAATCAATAATGGCTTCCTTTCTGGTTTGGTTAAAAAAAAAACCATGCAGGAAGGTTGTGAAACCAAGTGAGTGAGTGAGTGAGTTTAGTTTTTCGCTGCTGTGAGTTTAGTTTTACGGCGGGGACACCAGAAATGAGCTTTACACATGGCACCCGTGTTGGGAATTGAACCCTGGCCTTCTAGACCACTAGGCTAACCCACTGCCCTGTGAGACCAAGTCCTGCCTATGCTTGGTAATAGCAGCAACACTACACAAACCTGACCTACAGCAAGTCGACATAATCTGGTAGACAGAGGAAAGCATACACTTGAAAATTGGATTCAACAACAAAAATTACAAAAATATATAAAGTCACTGAAAAACTGCAAACTTAAGGTTCAATATGCAACTATTATATCTGTATCCAATACTGTTGAACAAACATTTCCTGCTTCATTTGAAGGCACTGTTAAACATGTTACAACATGGGATATATTTTCTTCTACCAAGCAGTTCGTGTTTGAGACAATGTCCTCAACAGAAGAGTTGGTCAGTTTTACAGAGATACAATGCTGCAGATACATGCGACCCCAAACAAACTACACTGACTCTATCAGTCCCTGTTTCATCCCTTTAGAAAGGGTAACCACAAGGACCAACATCTTTTAGTAGGATGTGGTTGGTTGGTTTGTTGTTTAACGCCACACTCGGCAATATTCCAGCTACATGGCGGGGGTCTGTAAATAATCGCGTCTGGACCAAACAATCCAGTGATCTACAGCATAAGCATTGACCTACACAATTGGGATACGATGACATGTGTCAACCAAGTCAGCGAGCCTGACCACCCGATCCCGTTAGTCACCTCTTATGACAAGCATGGGTTACTGCAGATCAATCATAACCTGGATCTTCACAGGTCTCATTTAGTATGAAGTAGCATCCACTCTCACTCTCAGGCAGTTGTTCTAATCACTAGACCACAGAGGTGGTCTTGCACAGATACACTACTCAAGTCCATAAGGAAAAGCTACTGAGTGCTTACCAGTACTCTACATCAGTATCTGGTGGGTGAAGGGTTCACTCACACGAACTTGTCAAGAATGTAAACAATTTTCAGCGTTGGAATTTCAGTGTGTCAACTCATAAACCCTGACACAAAACCTTCCAGGCATGTCAATACTGATTTCAGTTTCAGGAAATCCTCTTTGCTCCTATCAGTTATAACAAAAGGCAATACTACTACTACAAAAATCTTTACATATCTGCAGTCTAAATTTTAGTCTATCAAGTTGTGTAACATACTGACATCAAACTGATAATAATCTGGATGAGAGGACAGAAGCAAGGTTCTACTGCAATCACAACATGTACTACTAAAAAAAAAGAGTTAAGAACACCCAATTAATCTGTCAAGGCTGGTGGTATCGCAAAACACAACCTTCCTATTCTGGATGTTCTTTAACTTGTTATGAGGAATTTGCAGAAACAATAATGGTCAAACAACCATAGGCAGAATGATATTCACTTGTATTTCTGCATAATGGAATATGGCAATCTTAGCTGGCCAGTTATTTGCAGGGGCCAGAAATTCAACCAGATAATCAGTACTGTTATTCCTTCAATATGACCTGTACAAAGAAAGGACAACCCGGAGACACATGCACCTAAATCAGATATATACCACTCTCACAATTCATCAAGCCTTACACCCTGCACAACCTTCAATCACAGGAGTCTGGAACATGATCAATTTCTAATTATTTGAATCTTGATATCTCCATGAGGAAGTATTCCATAATCACTCATTCCCAGTAAAATCATAACTCACCATGAAACAGCCAGGGACCAACATAAAGAAGACAGTTTAATGCAGAACTAGCAAGCAGCTGATATTTTTTCAAATTAACAAATGGCCATTTCCATTTCTTTTAAAGAATTCACACGGAAGTCATTTCTGAAATGGCATTTTGCTGCAATAACATATAAATGAAGAAAAGCAGTGGATTGGATCTAATCTTTAGTAGGGAAATAACCTCCACCAGCTTCTAGCTCTGTCAGAGCAATAACAGAGAAAGGGAGGTAACTCTGCCCTACATAAATTACCCGTGTAATGGCTGTTGCTGGCTTCATGATCATGTTGGGGATGTTCCATTATATGGTTCTATTCCACCAAACACTGTTCTGTAGCATATCATGGACAAAACCATGGACTTGACTAAACTGTGGCTAAATCCAACATCCAAAATGTGTATGTAGTGAATACTTGGCACAAACTGTTCTGTATGGTTCAGATGAGTGTTAGACTATAATCGGTAACATCAGGACGATATCACAGTTAATTCTGATTTGGATCAGGCAAACCACTGCTCAGAGGTGTTAGAATTGATCCATGTGGTTGAAGTAAGATGGCACTAACCATTTAATGCCAAAGATTACATTTTACCAGGTTGTCAAAAACTCACATACTGTCCTCATGAATTTGTTAGAAACAAACATAAACCGCATTAGGACATACTAATAGGATATGGCTAAATGAACTTTTGATGAGGCATCTTTCTATATCATCCATTCCTATATCTGCCCCTTTCTAAAGGCAACCAGGGAGTCCCTTCCTTGCCTAATACTCATCAAATCCCTTGTAAAACCTATTAAAACAGGAAATACATGCATCACAGATAGTACAAAGAAAAAGATTTAATGATAGCACATAAGCTGATGTAAAATTTATAAATTGGAAATAAATTCAATTTTGATATACTGAACAAAAAATCATAGGGAACATGAAACAGTGTTACATATGAAATATCAAATTGTGTACTCAGTCTTTACTACAAAAATTATCCCCAAACTATTCACGAACATTAAGTTTGTTTGATCAGTATGTTTTTTAAACGCTCATGTTGAACATCTTAAATCTGCCAAAACAGCCATATAAAATATCAACTTAAAAATGAAGCAAAACAATGATCCAAAATCTTCCTCTATATGGATGATTCAAAATCATAAAAAGATTTAAGCACTGAACATGGTTGATTGGGGAGGCGAAGGAAACAAGGACAATCATTAATGAGTGTGGATCTTACCACTTCCGTGTGGTGGTACAGACACATCATATGATGGTTGACAGTAAGATTCAAACCAACAACAGCAGAACATGGGGGGCTCTTGTAAACCATAAGTCTTGATGAATTATAACAAATGTGATGGTCAAAGTTAGATTAGTAGTATTTAGACCATGAAGATTGCTTTAATATATATGGCCACTGGTGTCATTGTACTAAACAACCACAAATCTATTTTAAGGTATACAGTCAAATCCCGATGAGTCGAATGCCGGTGTCTCGAATATTATGCATAACTCGAAGTACCTGTCGGTCCCGACCATTCCCTGTTATAGTTGTCATCATTTGAATACCGGTTACACGAATTCGTCTCATAAAGACACACGATGACTCGAGAAGGAAATTTGGTCCCATGAGATTCAAACAACAGCAATCTTGTATACATAAGTCGAAGTCAGTCAATGAGAAGTTGATTGGTGTAGCAAACTGATCCAATTAACAAACCAGCGCGGCTCACACCTTTCCGCCGTTGACAGGTGAGTTCAAAAGGCAGATTAGTGATTTTATGGAAATCACTGTCTGTGCTAATCAGACTGGAACTGATAAGGTGCCCCTATTAGTGATATGGAAATCATTAGATAAACAAATGTTTAGGCGGAGAAATTAGGAATGGATCATCTTTTTTTCTACCCTCATAGACATACTTATGTCTCGAATACATCGATAAGTCGAATTTATTACTTGGTCCCCAGATATTCAACTCATCGGGATTTGACTGTATGTGTTATGATCATCTTAACATAGACCATACTGGCTACACAGAGCCTGATGATGTGACTGACAATGTGACTGACGATGTGCCTCCCCTTCATGGATGTTGTGTGAGTTCGCCAGATCTTAAACATAGCAAGGACATGGAGCTGATATATTCTACAAATAAAGTATTTACCTTTTGTTCCTTTCTTTTTCTTTATGCCTTTCTTCTTCTTGCCATCCTCCCCGATGTCTGCCCCTGGGGACATGTTGTTGCTTGGCAGGAGACGAGCGATTGACCCACCGACATTCGTCAGCTGTTCCTCTCCATAACCGAATGGAGGTTTGCGGCTCAAGAAAGTACCATGCTTCTGGAAGCCCCCACTTTCAGCCTCTTCTGGAGTTCGAGAATAGCTAGAATAGCGATTGTTCCTGTTGAAAGGGAAGCAGACCCCATCATCTACACTTCGAGCACCTCTCGTCATAGTGCAGTCGGAGCTCATGAACCTTCTCTGCTGTTCCGTGTGACAGTACTCCTCATCATCACTCTCGTTCTGCAAGACAGTGTACGGAATATGATCCCCCTTGCCATACAGGGCTTTGTGGATGCCCCCTTGAGGGATCTCCTGATGCCTGAAGGTCTTCATCTCAATCCCATCTTCCTCGAGAGGACTGGTCACGTTATACTCGTTTGTACTGGAGGCATCACTTCGGGGTGACTCGATGGAGCTTTTGTCGGATTCAACATCGATAACTTCATCGAAATCTGGATTGACTGTATGACTAATCTTCACAGCGTCACTTTTCTTGATGCTTTCATCAGGATAAAAGTAGTCATATGCCCCTCTTTCCTCCAAATCGCTTCCTTCAAGGTCGCACCAACTTTTCGGCACCCTTTCCTGATGAAGGAAGTCCTGAGTCTCGTTCAGCATCCTCTCTTTTCACGTGACAACCCAGCATGAAGTTCGGGTGGCTGTAGCTACGTTTACTTCCCTCTGTGCCGCCATCATCCTCATCTTCACCACTCCAGTCATCCGAGCCAGGCCCACTGGTGGCATCTAAACTACTCATCTTGGGCCGACCTTGTGCAAGACTGAACTCACGGGCGCTTAAAACCAATACATTAAACTTGTCTTGTGGGAGCTCGGCTATCTGACGTGCCCGTTCTTTTATCTTGTCCAACTGCAATAAAAAAAAAAGAATTTGTTTCAGACACAATTCAAAGTACTGGTACCAAATACATACAGACATAGTGGTTGATCTGTAAAATCATTGACACTGAATGTTAGATAATTGAATATCCTTCCCCGAAATATGGCACAACAACGTCAATCATCTCTTAAAAGTCTTATGCTGCACGGTTTTCCCAAACATATATAAACCACTTTTAATCTCTGGACACAGGGATAAATGACTTTATTTCATATAGTGTATGACCGCCTCCATGGTGTAGTGGTTAGAGCATCCGCCCGGAGAGCAGAAGGTCGCGGGTTCGATCCTCGACCGCGTCATACCAAAAAAGACGTTAAAATATGGTACTTGTTGTGCCCTGCCTGGCGTTCGGCATTAATGGGTACATCAAGGACTGGTTGGCTCGGAGTCAGTATAATGTGTCTGAGTGGGGTATTCATGCTTCACTGCGGCATGGTATCTCAGTGGGCTAGCACTATAAAACCAGCTTAGCCTTCAGTCTGGGCTAGTACAAGCAGCCGCACATATACATACACACACGCATGCACGTCGTCATATGAGCAAAATATTCTCAAAGAACAATGTTAAACCCAATTTCACCTAACCTCACTTCATATCGTGTATACCTGTTGCTAGGCATTTGGCAATACGCTGCAGTTAAATAAAACAGCTCTTACGTAGCCAATTGTTGTCTCATGGCAGATGCAACACCACACCATACCTAAGGCTGTCGATTCATATCGGTTTAAATGACATCATGCAGTGCAACAAAGTCAACCCTCATGGTTCAACTATAATAGTTGAGGGTGAAATTATACTATATTAGACCATACATGGGTGTAAAGCAAACATTATTCATAAATACATGTGTTGATATGTCTTCAAAATGGCTGGACTTCAATATGGTTGCCCATGTGGGATGAGAACTCAACTTAATTTTGACACTTTCTCGTAACCTTGTACTGAGGTGAAAAGTGTAGTAAATAAACTGTTTTATGACAGCTTCAGCACCTTTCTATACCATGATGCATATCGGAATGTGTAGTAACTACTGGATAAGGACAAACTTTATGGATGAACAACTTCTTGAAATTTGTCCTTACCTGACTCTACTTCTAAAAATGAAACTCCGAGAAGATATGAACTACTGGCAAACACATTGATGTTTGTACTGCCAGATATCTGTACATGGTGTACAATAACATGATACATGGATGTGTGATACTGCACGTATTTCATCACTACTTCTTTAGCAATTATCGCAGCATTAACTCAAGTTCAACAGATAGGGGTCTCAATGATGACATTTAATTCATCGCACTGTTGATAACATTACTACTGACAACAAATGTTTCGCCATTCATTCATAACCGATAAAATGGACTGCAAATCCTTGAACATGTTGAATAGTAACTTCTATTATTTGAATGTGACGATTATCTTCAAGTTTACTTTTTGCTATCATCACATTTTATGACTCACTGAACATAGAACTAGTAGAATGTCATTAACAAATGAATACTTAGGGCAAGTTTTGGTATGACAACAAAACACCCACCTCTGCTCATAGTCATTCATAACCTACATAGAAGTAGTAGAAAGGCACAGGTGTTATCACATGGCCATACATTATTGACATTATATTGCAACAGAGAGCTGGAATACAGGATAATGGCTATCACAATATAGACACCATTCATATCAATATACAGACTATAACAGGCTGAAGGGAGGTAACTCTGCCAGACACAACCTCCATGTTGAGTCCTGCCCAAGTCTTTCAGAAGGAAACTAACACTGCAACCCAGCTCTGTGGCCAGTGATCTTGAGTTTCTTTGATTGTTTTACCATTCCAAAACATCTGTGAAAGAGTTCTTTACTAATTTGACCTGATATAATTACTTGTCAAAGATTTTCATCTGGCAAAGTCTTTTTGCATTTGTCAACATGGTTAGACTAACAATAAGAGCCATAACACATGAATATAACCATTGATTTTAAGACATTGATCACTTGCCTGAAGCAACTGCGATACCTAAAAGAGGACAAATTGTGGAGAAGAATGTGCAACTGGTCAGTTCTTCTGTGGACTGATGTCAACAATAGCACATGTGACTGACATCCTCGGTGTGTGTGTGAAATACTAACTGGCTAAAACAGCAGGTTCATCTTTTAATTCACCAATAACATATTTAGACAGACAATTATTATTTTATTTCACACTACTAATTACAAGGAGAAACCTAGTAGCAGCATAAAAAAACACCAAAAACAAAACAAAAATAAAAGAAAAAGATCCCAATCAAGTCTCAGCAAGGTCAAAACTTCAAAGTGAATATGAAACATGCTCTTTTGGCTTGCTGAACTGGTGGCTAGGGAATATAACAACCAAGATATATGTTCAGTATCAGAATGAAATCAGAATGAATATTAGTTTTCTACGGTCATTTATGGAGATCATGAAATCAGACATCAACCTTTCAGTTACTGTTCATTTTGAGAGGAAATTTCCATTTTACACTTTCAAATTTGTGAGCTGAATAACAATATTATTAATCAAGCTACTCTGATTTTATCTTTACCAGCCAAAATATACCCAATAAAGTAGCCACGGGCTCCTGAACAAGCACTTACTTGGCTCACTGGCTATCCCTGGCCATGCTGACATTGAGAGAACAACACATCTTAGTTGACTATTGGGTAATACTGATATCAGTAGCCAGCTGGGTTAACATTTCTGTATCAGAATGGATTATGATGCTTACACTAAGTTACAGTGTTACCACACGGTGTATCAAGTTATGCTGATGACATTGTTCACACACACACAATGGGAGAATTTGTGTCCACCTGTTCTTACAAAGAATGACTGAATGATGTTTAGCAACAGTCAGCAGTATCCCATCAGTGGTAAACCAGTGTCTTACATCTTCATCCCTGTGATGAGTGAGTGAGTGAGTGAGTGAGAATGGTTTTATGCCGCTTTTATCAATAATCCAGCAACATCACAGAGGGAGACAGAAGAAATGGGCTTCGCAAATAGTACCCATGTGCAGAATTGAACCCAGGCCTTCGGTGTGACGAGCAAACACTTTAACCACCAGGCTACCCCACTGCCCATGATCCTGTTTTGATCAATACTCTGAGTGAGTGAGTGAGTTGAGTTTTATGCCACACTCAGCAATATTCCAGCTATATGGCAGCGGTCTGTAAATAATCAGATCTGGACCAGACAATCCAGGGATCAACAGCATGAACATCGATCTACACAATTGGGATGCGATGACACGTGTCAACCCAGTCAGCGAGCCTGACCACCCGATCCCGTTAGTCGCCTCTTACGACAAGCATGGGTTACTGAAGGTTCATTCTAACCTGGACCTTCACGGGTTTGATCAATACTCTGTCACCATTCATAACCACCACTTTCTTTAAATGTCTGATGCTCAAATTAGTGGTCCTATCAAAATTCAATCAGATGCAAATAAAAAATCTGTGCAAATGGGTCGAGATTATTTAGAAAAACAGAATGGAGAGTATGTGACACACTTAGAAATAAAGGATGGCAGTATTACATGAGTACAGCTTTTACATGAGTATAGCTACATCCATATATAACTGAGCTGGAACCTGAGAAACCAGTTACTCAACAGCACTACCAACGACCCAAACTGTTGAGATACAATGACACACAATCAGTTACTTATAACCATCTAATCCCTGTTATGACCGGCCCCTGGAACAAGTATGGGCTACTGAAGACCTATTCTGCCACAAAATTCCCAAAGGGCTTGCTATTATGGAATATTCAAGTACATCCTTGACCTTTGGGATGATGAGTACTCTCTCCACAATGCCCATTTCACAACCTTACTCCTATATGTCAAACTCTAAACTGTCTGTATATTTCCAACTTCAGGAGGCATGGAAATATCTTTTGAAGTATTCTGAACTGATCAATCTTATTTGGATACATATTAACGGCACTTATTTGTTTCCATGGTTGAGATTCATGTCCCAATTCAAGTCTCTCTTAGGGATCTATGAGATAGAAAAAGTTGCACATATTTAATGCTTCTCATAACCGACTAAGAAGGTGATCAGTTACTTACAATGTTCATGTAGGCATTACCCACATGGGTACAATGTACGAAGCTCATTTCTGGTGTCCCCAGCTGTGACATTGCTGGAATATTGCTAAAAGCAGCATAAAACCATGCCCACTAAGTACAATGAGGATGACATTGTTTTTCCACAACCACACATTATGGATAACTGCTAATACTTCTTATGGTTTGGTATCATACAGTTTCTATATACACAGGGACTAGCAGGGGAGTCTATGCTGCTAGGAAGCTACAGTGGCAGAAAGCAGGAGCAACAATTCTTGTTGTATGGAAACAGTGGCACACAATAAGTCAAGTCACAGAGTGAACGAGATCCTTGGTCAGTCCACTCATGCAACAAGCATTAAGTATGGGAAATCTACACTATCAGGCATCTCAACAGGATCCACATGGCCTTACGGGATAACAAATGATGAGTCTGACTACAGGATCCAAGTATAGTCGACTCAAGCAACAAGCATGAGGTGAGGTGAGGTGAAATTGGGTTTGACGTCGTGCTTGAGAATATTTCGCTCATATGACGACGTGCATGCGTGTGTATGTGTTTGTGCGACTGCTTGTACTAGCCCAGACTTAAGCTTGTTTTATAGTGCTAGCTCACTGAGATACCATGCCGCAAAGAAGCATGAATACCCCACTCAGACACATTATACTGACTCCGAGCCGACCAGTCCTTGATGTACCCATTAATGCCAAGCGCCAGGCAGGGACCAACAAGTACCATATTTTAAAGTCTTTTGGTATGATGCGGTCGGGGATCGAACCCGCAACCTTCTGCTCTCCGGGCAGACACTCTAACCACTACAGCAACAAGCATGAAATGAGTGAGTGAGTGAGTATGGTTTTACGCCCCTTTTAGCAATA